CAGACTTTATCCTTGGGGGGCTCCAAAATCACTCTTGATGGTGATTGCAGCCATGAAATTAAAAGACACTTGCTCCTTGGAAGAAAAGCTATGATCAACCTAGACAGCATATTAAAAAATAGAGACATTACTTTGCCAACAAAGGTCTGTCTAGTCGAAGCTGTGGTTTTTCCAGTAGTCATGTATGTATGTGAGAATTGGACTATAAAGAAAGCTGAGTGCCAAAGAATTGATGCTTTTGAACTGTGGTGTGGAGAAGACTCTTGAGAGTCCCTTGGACTGCAAGGAGATCCAACCAGTCCATCCTAAAGGAAACCAGTCCTGAATGTTCATTGGAAGGTCTGATGCTGAAGTTGAAACTCCAATACTTTGGCCACCTGATGTGAAGAACTGACTCACTAGAAAAGACCCTGATGGTGGGAAAGATTCAAGGCAGGAGGATAAGGGGCCAACAGAGGGTGAGATGGTTGGATGGCGTCACTGACTCAATGGACATGAGTTTGAGCAAGCTCCAGGAGTTGGTGATGGCCAGGGAAGCCTGGCATGCTGCAGTCAGTGGGGTCGCAAAGAGTCAGACATGACTGAGTGACCGAACAGACTGATTGACTGATTAAAAGAAAAAGAAGTAATCAACTAATCAAGATCAGTGGGTCCATCAGCTAGTAAAAGTTCCAGGAGATAGATAGCAAGGCCCTAGGCATTCTCTGTCAGTCTGGCACATCGAAATCTTCTGTGAGCTTCAGCTGTGGCGCTGGCCCCTGTACTGGCCTTGTTTTCACATTCTTAAAGTTGCCTTTGGGCTTTCTTGATGGCTCCTCTCTGTCCATGGGGATCCTCCAGGCAAGAATATTCCAGTGGGTTGCTAGTCCCTTCTCTAGGGGATCTTTCCAACCCAGGGATCTAACCCACATCTCCCACATTGCAGACAGAGTCTTTACTACCTGAGACACCATGGAAGCCTCCTGATGGCTCAGATGGTCAAGAATCTGTCTGCAATGCAAGAGACCCAGGTCCGATACTGGACTGGAAAGATCACCTGGAGAAGGGGATGGCTACCCACTCCAGTATTCTTGCCTGGAGAATTCCATGGACAGAGGAAACTGACGGGCTACAGTCCATGGGGTTGTAAAGAGTTGGACTCGACTGAGTGACTAACACACACACACACACATACACACACACACACACATATGAAGGTTGCCTTTACAATGAGATTCTTGTCCTCATGACCTCTTTTCATCTCAAAGGCATTATTTAATCCCAGAAACAAGGAGGAGAGGTTAAGTCTTAGACACCTGTTAGAGTCCTGGCTCCCTGATGTCTTGGCCAAGTGACTTTGGGGAAGTAACATAAGCTCGGTAAAAGGGGACAATTATAATAGTTACTGTGAAAGGTTGAGCTGAAGATTGAGGACGTGAAGCACATGAAGTAGCAGAGTGCAGTGCTTAGCTGCACTGTATACTGTTTGACATCAAAACCTATCTCTAATCTCAGGGTTTCCATCATTCCTTTGGTACCCAACCATACCTCTGCTTAGTGAAAGATATGAGCTTCTGGCCCATGGCATGTAGCCAGTAACTCCAGGCTTAGCAGTCTATTCATAAAATCTGTCTAATTTTTGTCCAGATATTTTGAACAGAGTGGTGGTACATATTATGTTTCACTTAGTCAAAATTATTCTATCTTGAGAGAGCAAGATTGGAAGGTTATTCCCTTCCGTAATGATGAGACTTGGATAGCATCTCTCAAATATGCCCTGTGATCTGGGTTCCCACACCACTTTAGCAGAGAAAACTAAATTAGGAAGAAAGCAGTCAGGCCATGCCAAGTTCAAATCCCACCTCTCCCTCTCATAGCTGCGTGGCCCTAGAAACATCATCTAACCTGGCTAAGCCTCAGTCACCTGTCTACTAAAATCAGGAAAATAATCATATGTACCCCATAAGGTTGCATAAGGGATTAAATGACTTCCCAGCTGGTGCTAGTGGTAAAGAACCCACCTGCCAGTGCAGGAGACTAAGAGACACGCGTTTAATCCTTGGATCAGGAAGATCCCCTGGAGAAGGAAATGGCAACTCACTCCAGTATTCTTGCCTGGAGAATCCCATGGACAGAGAAGCCTGGTGGGCTACAGTCCATAGGGTCACACAGAGTCAGACAGGACTGAAGTGACTTAGCACAGCACATATTAAACCTTTGGCCCAGTCTGCCCAGTGTGTGGCAAACAGTAAGAGTCCAATAAATGCATTATTTAAAAAACAGTGGCTTGTGAAACTTTTGAGAATCATTAGAAAAAAAAAAAGTATACAAGTGTACTTCAAATACAGTTGACCCTTAAATAACATGGGTTTGAACTACAAAGGTCCACTGATAGGTGAATTTTTTTCAATAAATATACTGGGAAAAGTTTTGGAGATTTGCAACAATGTGGAAAAACTCACAGATGAATGTAAATAGCCTAGAAATATAAAAAAATTAAGTAAAAGTTAAGTATGTCATAAATGCATAAAATATTTATAGGTACTGGTCTATCCTTACAAGAGCATGAAGTGATATTTAATATGAAATTAATAATGTATTAGTTTCCTTACTGTTATAACTTTGCTTTCAGAGCATTACATTACCATAGAGTATGCCCGTTTTTTCTAATTGGAGAAACTCCATATCAGCCTATCATCACAGGTAAGTGTTTCTAAAAAAAAAGCAACAAAGTTTCCAATACTGTATTATGAATATGACTATAATACTGTATGCCATAAAAGTAATGATTCACTCATTAGTGTATAGGCTAGACTACTATGAAGCAATTCTACCAATTACATTAGGCTACTGTAAAGCAATCATATTACTGCTTATTCCCTATCATTCATGAATCATTACACCTACAAATAAATATGAATTTCTTTTTCACATTATCTTTTCATTTTGATGTTGGTACTAACAGATGATCAATCTTGTAAACAGACAACACAAAGTTACTTTATCAATAAATACAGCATACTATATAAATGTATTTTCTCTTCCTTATTATTTTCTTAATAACATATTCTTTTTTCTAGCTTACTTTATTGTAAGAATACAATGGTGCTAGTGGTAAAGAACCTGTCTGTCAATGCAGGAGACATAGAGACGCAGGTTTGATCCCTGGGCCAGGAAGATCCGCTAGAGGAGGGCATGGCAGCCCACTCCACTGTTCTTGCCTGGAGAATGTCATGGACAGAGGAGCCTGGTGGGCAACAGTCCATAGGATCCCAAAGAGTCAGACACAACTAAAGCACCTTAGTTCAGCACAGTTCAATATCTAATACACATATATAACATACAAAATGTGTCAATGAACTATTATCAGTAAGGTTTCTGCCCAACAGTAGGCTATTAGTAGTTAAGTTTGGGGAGAGTCAAAAGTAACATGAAAGGGTCAACACCACAACCCGTGTGTTTTTCAAAAGTCAACTGTACAAAATTGAAGGCTTTCTTTGAAAAAATAAATAAATGAAACAAGAATAGGGAGACCAATCTAGCCCAGTTTGCCCACAGTTTTTTCCTCCAAATTATTTCCATCTTTAACACTGGCAAAGGATTCCAAAACAGACTGACGTACATGGATATAGTTTAGATATAACCCTGAAACATTTGAGTTGTGTACATTAAGGAGAGAAAGATTTTTCCACATCAACCATTTCCTATTTTGCAATTTATAAATAGTAGAAACTAAAAATACATTTTCCCTAATCTAAGTTCATATGAAGTAATATAATGTTTGTGATTAGTTATTTGCCTTTAAGCATAAAACTTTTGAGCTTTTGGCTTCATGGTTGTCTGGCTCCTGAAGTCTGGTTATTGTTAGATCATAACAGAAGAGTGTTTCCACAAGGCCTTCCTCAACTGCAATTAAGAAATTATTACTTTCATTCAATTATTGCTTTCAGATTTAAAGCTGAAAGTCCTGTGTCCAGATAGCTCCCTTATTCTTCCCTAGCAAGCCAGGGAAGATGGTTGGTATATATAGACACCAAATTTAAGATTTGGGGGTCATTATCGTTCATGAATTTAGTGCTAACTATGGACCTGGCATTACTTTGCCGACAAAGGTCCATTTAGTTAAAGCTATGGTTTTTCCATATGTGGAATATGGATATGAGAATTAGACTATAAAGAAAGCTCAGTGCCAAAGAATTGATGCTTTTGAACTGTGGTGTTGGGGAAGATCTTGAGAGTCCCTTGGACTGCAAGGAGATCCCGCCAGTCCATCCTAAAGGAAATCAGTCCTGAATATTCATTGGAAGGACTGATGCTGAAGTTGAAACTCCAAAACTTTGGCCACCTAATGCGAAGAACTGACTCATTTGAAAAGACCCTGATGCTGGGAAAGATTAAAGGCAGGAGGATAAGGGGCCAACAGAGGGTGAGATGGTTGGATGGTATCACCAACTCAATAGACATGAGTTTGAACAAGTTCCGGCAGTTGGTGATGGACAGGGAAGCCCTGGCATGCTGCAGTATATGGGGTCGCAGAGTCAGACACGACTGAGTGACTGAACTGTACTGATGGACCTGGCATAGTGATTCACACCTTAAAAGTCAAATTCCACTTAAACAGAATTAACCTATCCATTAGGTTCTACTTTTAAGCCTATTTTAAAGATAAAGAAATGACAGTTTGGAGAGTTTAAGTGCCTAAATCCTAGGAGGATAGAGCTGAGATTCAAGCAGAGATCCTTTTAAAACTGTGCTGTGCTGTATCACATTAGGTCCTTGCCCACAGTTACCTCCAATGAGCAAAAACAGCAGAAAGATTATGGAACATATTGCCTCACAGGGTGAAAACATCAATGGCCTGAAAAGTGTTTTGGTGAATTCCTTGATCAGTATTAGGGAGTTGGGGATAGTAAAGATGCATTTAACATTTGAAGCAGATTTCTTGAATCCCTGCTGGAGGCAGAGCGCTGGCTGAACTGGAGTGGAATTGCTCAGGATAGACTGCTGAGGAGGGAACCTACCTCTTCAGGTACACCACATACTTTGTGTCTATGAAGGTGGGCCTCCCAGGGTTCCAGGTACAAGTCATGTTGCCTGAATATTCATAAATGACACAGGTTACTTTGTCAGGGACATCTGGTGGATCTGCAACAAAATGTATCACTTAGGAGCCACCACAGAAACATCAAGGTTTTTTTTAGTTAGTTGATAACCATTCCATTTTATTTGGAAAACCAGGTCAATCAGCACTTCCCCCATTCCACCCCTTCCAGCTCACATTCCAGCCCATTTTGCCCTGAAATATTGCTGCTTTCCTTTACATAATTTACTATATTCCATCTTTGGGGATACTAAGGTGATAAAGTTCCTCCCATCAAAAAGAATTCCTCCCCAGATTCTCTTCCCTCAGCTGTCAGTATATCTTTCTCCTTTTCACAATAGCTTTTTTCTTTTCTAAAGTCCATAATACTGGTCTTTTTCCTCAGTTCCCATTTACTTTTGAACCCCAAACAATCAAGATTCAGACCCACAATTCCACCAAAACCACTGTTGTTAAGGTCATCAATGACTTTCTAATCCACAAATCCCATGATTTCTTTCCTGTCATCATTGAGTTTGAACTCTGCAGAATTTGCTATTTTGGTCTTTCCCACCTTGAAATCTCTGTGCCTTTTGGCTGTTGTGAAAGGGCTGTCCATGTTTTTCTTCTACTCTGGCATTCCAATGCAAGGGGAGCAGGTTTGATCCTGGGTCAGGGAACTAAGATCCCACATGCCTCGGGGTGAGGCCAAAAAGAAAAAAAATAAAAAAGTTTGATAGTCATATATACATACTCAACCTTTAAAAGAAAGGGGATTCTGACCCATGCTACAACATAGATGGACCTCGAAGACATTATGCTAAATAAAATAAGCCAGCCACAAAAGGACAAACACTATATGATTCTATTTATAGATGTCTAGAACAGTTGAGCTCATGGAGACTGAAAGCAGAATGGTGGTGGCCAAGGGTTGAGGTGTCGGGAGAAATGAAGAGTTGTTGTTTATTGGGTACAGAGTTTCAGTTTTGCAAGATGAAAAAAGTACTGGAAATGGATGGGGGTGATGGTTGCACAATGATGTCAATGTGTATGTACATCACTGGCATTCACAGAACTGTGCACTGAAGAATCATTTAAAAAGTACATTTCACTACAATAAAGAAAGATTAAAAATTCTTAGGCATTCACAGAATTCTATCTCTAGTTTTTTTCCCTCCCTTCTCCCATGACTTCAACTCTTTCTCTGAATGGCCAAATTTTGGAGAATATTGCTAATTTTTGTCTGCCACTGTGATTTCTTTTGAGAACTGACATCTTCCTCATTCCTAACCTCATCCCCACTTCACCCCTGTGCCAAGGAGCGTGCCTTGACACGCAGAACTGTGCACTGGACCTAGTCTGATCAAGTATTTCCATTGGGAAAGAACCCGTGACCCAAGATGAACCAATCAGAAGTATCCAAGGAACTTTTTCTGGGGCTATTGTAAAAGATCTGCTTTTTCCCTGCCTTAATTTACTGTCTCTGGGTGTCATGTAAGCTATGGGCTGTTGATGGCCATCTTGCTGTCGTAGTGAAACAGTCTATTTAAGAATGAAGCCAGCACAGGGGAAAACAAAACCCAAGAGATGAGAAAAGATGAGACAGTTCCGTTGGAGCCCTTAGAGCCTCTGAAGCCTATGAAACCCCCAAAATATAGAACTGCATCTGGAATTTTCAGATACATCATCCAGTAATAAATTACCAAGAATCAAGATCAAAAAAGAAGTATGGGAATACTGAGCATTTACCATATGATCACTTTTTGGGGGTGGCTCTCTCAGCATGTGCCTACTTTTGCAATACTGCCTGGGAAACTGATTACTCAAAAAATGAGATGAAAAATGAAAGGATGAAACTAATACAACATTGTTAATCAACTATAAAATAAAAATTAAACAAACAAAAAAATAAATCAATAATTCTGTCCCATTAAGGAAAAAAGAAAAAGGATGGGGCCTCAGAACAGATAAAAATACAGACATTTATGCACCTGAAGTTATACCCAAAGAGTTAGCTTAAATGTAGATATATTCCTGCACTTCATCTGTAAATCATCTACCAAGAATACTACTTATAAAATAAGAAATACATATATGGGAAAAATTTATCTTCTTTGCAAACTGAACCAATAATAGATGTCATTTAGAGCTATCAAATCGGCAAGGATTTTGAAAAATGGTAATCCATAGTGTTGAAATGGACTCAAGGAAATCCCCTAACACACTGCTGGTAGAAATGCAAATTGGAACAACCTTTATGGAGAGCACTATACATATCATAATCTGTAAAAGCAGGAGTAATATCTTACAACCCAGCAATTTTACATCTAGGAATGCATCCTTACTAAAATGTTCATAGATACACAAAAATATTTGGCTAAAAGTGTTTGCCTCTTAAAGTGTTGTCAATAATAATGGAAGAATTGGAAACCAGCTTAATATCCCAAAATACACTCCTAAAATACAACCAAAAACAAAGTTATTGAAGACAATATATCTGGCCTTGGAAGCAACTCAAAATATGTTTAATTAAATAAGTAAGGGCCATATGATAAAATGAAAAAATAAGTTACAAAATAGTATATTATAGTGGTCTCATTTGAGAGACAGAGAGATAAAGGGGTAGAGAGAGAGAGAGAGAGAGAAACAGAGAAAAGAGACAGAGACATACACACAGAGAAAGAGACTGAAACTAGAAAGATACATTCCAAATTATTAAAGATGGAGTCTGCTAGTAGTAAGATTATGAGATTATAGAAATGATGTGTATTTCTTTTTTGTTGGTCCAAAATGTTAAAAATGTCCCACATGAATGCAATTTGATTTAATGATTTTAAAACATATTTTCAAACAGTAAGAACACACTAAAGTGCTTTAAAACATTTTGATGAGTTGTAGTGTCAAACTACAGTAGGGGAGAAGTTGGACTCCAAGTAAGATAAAATAAATCTTTAAGTTTTACTTGAGCCTTAAAGGAGGTAGGTGTAGAAACATAAATTTAAATCATTTTGGATATTTATTGACTTGGGGTCCTTCAATGATTTGTGCTGAAGTTATTTTTTCCCTCTAGTTTCAGAGTATTTTTGATTTGGCCATCATAAAAGACAACTGTCAGTCTTTTGGGCTATGTTATTCCACAGCATTTTCTCTGAAGTGAATGCTCAGGGTTATGTCTGATAACTAATTAACTTTGTAAAAGATCAAATAGATTAAACATTTATGTGCAAATAAACATGCTATTTGTTAATATGAAGCTATGTAAAGATGGGAATGTGAATATAGATATAAAATAAGACCAAATTGTTTTTAGATTCCATTGTGTGTGCTTAGTCACTCAGTCACGTTGGACTCTTTGCAACCCCATTGGACGGTAGCCCTCCAGGTTCCTCTGTCCATGGGATTCCTGGGCAAGAATACTAGAATGGGTTGTCATTTCCTTCTCCAGGTATCTTCCCAGTCCAGGGATTGAACCTGCATCTCCTGTGTCTCCTGCATTGCAAGCAGATTCTTTACCTGCCAGGTTATTAAATGTCCATGGGTAAAAACCTGCTGTACAGTCAGATACCAGGAAATACTCTGCTGTCTCCAACCCATCATGTGTCTCCCCTCCTACCGGGTCCCTTACTAGTCACAGGCCATGTTTCTTATTAATTCAAAGTTTAGCCAAGGATCGTTTTCAACTGAGAGCCTCTTGATGGCAGAGTCTGTGATCCCCTCTTCTCTGAATTGCTATCATTTAACACATTTTTGGTGCATACTAACCACTAAGTAAAGTGTATTTCATGGCTTGATTGGTTTGATTAAAAAAATGATAATGAAGAGAATTTAAAATGAAAAGAAAGGCAATGCTTCTGGCAAAGATCTCTCCATAATTCCTTACCCAAAGAGTGTGCAGACTGGCCTACTGTGTCATTAATAAGACTGAGTAGCAATGTTAAAGACAACTTTTCAGGGCCTTTTATTGGATAATAAGTCTACTTTCATCAAATAAGTAGAGATCAAAGATGATTAAAATTCAAGTTAGATATATTTAAACTTTTTAATGATTCAGTGGAAATATGACTGTTTCATGAATAGTTTAATTTGGTGTTTTTAAAGGACTAGAGAAATCTTAAAATGTTTTTTCCCATGACTGGTGTGACTCTGATAGAATACTTTAGATGATGTGTGTACACTTACAGATAACAATCTAAGAAGTCTAAGATTATGGCTAAAAATGAAACTGTGATAATGGTTTGTATTTCACAAATTACACATCAAAGTATGGAACTTTTAATGTTTGGATATCTTTTTAGGAAAGCAACGACTCCTTTATCTTCTCTTTGCTTTGGATGATTTTTCTCCAGTCTAAAAAAATACACATAATCATTTTGTTCAGAACAGTGATGGTAAGTTGACATGGTAAAACTCACAGAAAGAGTATCCTGTAATCAAAGTGATCCAGTGAAAGCAGTGTGATTTCTAGAATACCACAAAAACCCTCAAAAACCTTTACTTGACCTACTTCAATAGGAAGTTTTGTTTGCTAAGAATGTAGAGCCCAAGAACACAGGGCTTCTTGAATCCAGGGCTTTGGGTAAATTCTTACATGGCAGTTACACTTTCACACTCATAACCAGAGATCTATGTAAAAAGTTCCAAAATCACAGAGTAAACAAGTGGAAAGGGTAATGTTCTCTCTAAGCAGCTGTCCGCAGAAAATGTAAGTGCTTCTAATGTGTGGTCCAAGAAGGGGAGAAAAGGCCATTCCCTGGCCCTGAACAGAGCCTGGGGGTTGTGTTTGGGGGCAGAAGGCCTCAGCCAACGCTGGAGAGTGGCTGGGCGTCACTGGCCACTCACACGGCAACACGGGAAGTAGGCCACACCTTTCTTACTCTGGCTTAAAATTAACACTAACCTTTCCCCACAGCCATGACAGTTGCTCATTTGTCCTCTGATGAAATATTCTCTCAGCAACCCACCCCCCAGCCATCAAGGATAAATAGGAATGTAATTAAGCAAGAAGGGTTACTTTTGTTTCCTGAGGATGTGGACAAGCTAAGAAGTCCTCAGACATCAGATAAGATGTCTCCTTGTGGTTTCAGTTCCCACAATTTAGGGCAAGTTTAGCGTGTTATTATTATTTTAAGGCCTAAATTTTTTCTTTAACTCCAAAACCTACTAATTTCCTTTCTCGGTTCACCTCTGCTACTTCCTACAGCTCTCCTCTCTTGAAGCAAGGAGGTCAGGTGCCCAGCAGGACAATGGCCTTGCTTTGGAACAAAAAAGCCTCCTTCTTCTCAGACACCCCCTCTAGGGACAGGTAGAGATGGCCAGGTGGACTTGGTCTGTCTAGGTGAGGACTGGAGATGAGGAAGAACTCAGATTGGATTCTCAAAAGTATGGAGAAAGGGAGTGTAACAAAGATCCAAAGCCCTCTATCTTTCACTAAAAATGGGCCCAGGTGCTGTAGGGAATGAAAATCTAGATTAAAGCAGTACTGAACTTACTGATTTTTCTTTTGGAATAGTAGAACCAAGAATTAAGTATATAATTATACAAGCCAGCCCATATTACTATAATAACTTAAACACCTTCAGGATACTATGAACACACATTGAATTTAGCAAATATTTTTAAAATTAACAATTCATTTTTTTTCTTAATAATTATAGTAACAAACACAATGATTCACAGTTGGGGCAGTGACATTAGGAGCAGGGAATTGTATCAAAATCGTCTGATGTTTTATCAAAAGGTTCCATTTAAAAGGGCTTAGGCACATTAATATTGTAGTTTAAAGTATATAATACACTTTAAAATAAGTTATTGAAATTTGGTGTTTGCCATGACCAGTATAATTAGCCTCATTTTACAGACATGGAATTGAGGCACAGACTGGTTAAGCAACTTTCCTGAAGTCACACAGCTGGTAAGAAATATAGCAGAGATACAAAGCTAGTATTGCAACTGTTTTTTCCTTCCGAAATCTTAGCCTCAAAATTTCTCAATGGAATCTGCTTCAAGGTTGATATTAGTTTGGAAAACAATGTTAAATGAAAAATAGTTGAAAATAAAAACACTGAAAATCTGAGGGTGCTGCCTTTGTGTTCGGCCAGGCTAGTGTTAAAAAATTGTATTTTGAATATGTTGGCAACATTGAAAAGTTTGTAGAATTCACACTGAAAATTTACACTTCCATCTTCTTTGGAAGAACCAAAAGACCTAAGAATACTGGATCCTCGAGATGCTGAAGCTGGACACTGTCTGTGCTCAGTAAACCATCTATGTGTTTTCCGCTCTGCACAGATGCCACCAGCTTCTTAATGCAACATTTCACCAACCTGGCTCCTGGAGACATTCAAATTTGCAATACCTACATTAAACTAATATAAGAAGTGAAGTATATTAATTTGCCTCCGTTTTTAGACAATATTGGTAGTTACCAGTTAATTGTTAGGCTAACTTTCACTTGGCTTTTGAAAGCACACCAACACTTACATCCAGAAGAAATGTCTTTTCCACATATTAGTGTCTCTGGAGAATATCTGGAACACTCAGCAGTACAGTACACAAAGGCTTGTGGCTCCACAAAGTTGTTATACCAAAGGCGAGCTGTTGTTTTATTGATTCTTGTGATTTGAAATCTTTCTTTGAAGCCATTTTTATAAAAATAAAGTTTCCTTGGTTGGCAGTTCTTAATTGCTGCCTGGCAATATATAGAGATATTCATACCCATCTTAAAAATTGTGGCAGGTTCTACCCAGATGTGTCCAGAGCAGTTTATATTTGTAATCCCTGGAAAACAAATAGATACAATAATTAATTCCATGTAAAACATTAAAACCAGATATTCACAAGAATATGCTTTGCATTTAAAATTGTTTTTGACTAACGGAATAATTTCCATTGGAAAAGAGTTTTAGGACTCAGTGTATCCTTTAATTGCATAGCTTATCAGTGTGTTTTTATCATGTTCTGTTGATGTTCGACAGCATGACACAAGCCTAGAGTCAGCTTTCAGCTTTTCAGCTTCTCTAGCAGTCTAAAGTGCAAATATAATTAGCTCTTCTATTTTAAAGGTGAGGAATGAGGCATTTTGAGGCTACCTTATGTTTCAAAGGTAACATTAGAAGTAACAGTTGGTAGGGAAGACTCCAACCCCCATTCTTCAGCTACTCAGTCTTTCCTTCTTTTATAGATAAGGGCTACTTTTATTAGAAAATTATGAGTTTAATGATTGAAATCATACTCTTACTAGTTGCAAAAATTTATTGCTTGACCACCACTTAAAATTCATCATTAATTTAAAAATATGGGCAAATGTTCAGAATATATTTTTAAGTTGAAAAGCAAGTTGCAAAACAAAATCTTTAATATAGACTCAATATTAAGAATAAATAGATGAATGAATTAAAGATACACTAAGATATTATCATTGATAATCTGTGTTAATTTTTATTTTTAATTGAATATTTCTGTGTTTTAAAATTATATAATAATGTATTATTTTTATAGCCAAAAGACAATAAAGGCATTTTCATGAACTCAAATGACAATGTAATGCAATATCAATTAAATTCACATCAAGGAAAATTCATTGTAGGCTTTTTCTAAATATTCTAAATCCTAAGCATTAGAATATCTTAAAACCTTATCAAAGTGATAATTAAGGGAAAGTATTTAATTTTAAAAGTCCTTATCTTTAGAATTCAAAGCTTAAAAATTAACTTTTATAATGTAAATGTAATTGAATATTGTCCGTTTATGTAGTTTGCATTCACATATAAATTATAAATATTTAAACGTTGAAGTAATGATAAAAATAATTCCATCATTATCAATAGGAAATTGAAGCCAAAGACATGAAAAGAAGTTTTAAGAAAGCATCTGACTGCTTTGCCATGCTAGGTCACTTGAGTCGTGTCTACCTCTTTGTGACCCCATGGACTGTAGCCTGCCAGGCTCCTCTGTCCATAGATTTCTCCAGGCAAGAATACTGGAGTGGTTTGCCTTGCCCTCCTCTGGGCGATCTTCCCAACCCAGGGATCAAACCCACATCTCTTATGTATCCAGCATTGGCAGGCATACTTTACAACTAGCGCCATCTGGGAAGCCCCTAACTGTTTTAAAGAAGTTCAACAATTCAAGTTCAGACAAACTGTTTCTTCAGCGCCTTAAAAAATATGTGAATACTATCATGAAACCTTTGTGAGTAGTGTTTAAGAATACACAGAAAATATTAAAAATGTCAGAAGACTTCAAATTTGGGTAAATGTTGTCTTGGTTTTAAAAAATAGGATAAAAAAGAACCCCAGAAACACTGGACTGCTGAGCTTCACAACATTTGGGAATGAATTAGTAAGTCGATGATTTTTCAGTGCATAGAAAAAGCAATCAGTAATCGGCAGGAGTCAACTTGGATTATGTAAGAATAAGTCATATAAAAATATGTTAATTTCTCTTTTTAATATGTTAAAATAAGTCATAGAAAATATGTTAACTTGGGGAGGGTTGGTCAGAAAAATGCTAAACATAGTGTTTATTTTTTTCATTTCAGCAAAGCTATTTAAAAGGAGTAAAACATCACTCTAGTAGAAAATTTGGAAAAGATAGTAAAAATATTACAGCAGATTGGGTAATAATATATAAAATAGTCTCTAATGAACAACTGGAAAGTCTCTAATGCCATATCAATCACATGGGCTTGTCTTATTTCTCTATGCTTCATATTAATCACTCAGATATATAAACGGGCTTGCCTGGTGGCTCAGACGGTAAAGAATCTGCCTGCAATGCAGGAGACCTGAGTTTGAACCCTGGATTGGGAAGATCCCCTTGAAAAGGGAATGACTACTCACTCCAGTATTCTTGCCTGGAGAATTCCATGTATAAACAGAAGTCTGACTTATCATTCACATATTTCTAGAAGCTAGAAAAAGTAAATGATGTCTTATTTCTATGAAACATTCTTGGATACTGTTGGTCTGACTCTGGAAGTGTCTGATAGCCTGCTGGAGGGTTTCTAGTTCTCATGGCGGGGCTACTTCTCTATGTCTAATATAAGTTTGTCCCAACCTACAGAAGATAGTTTTGCTTTTGTCACTATTCTGAGCAAGTTGCATGATTTGCAAAGCTTCCTTCAAGATCTAAAACCCTGCCTTGATGTTGCTTGTGTGTGCATGCATGTGCAGTCATTCAGTCGTGTACGACTCTTTGCAACTCTATGGACTGTAGCCCGCCAGGCTCCTCTGTCCATAGGATTCTCCAGGCAAGAATACTGGAGTGGGTTGTCATGGCCTTCTTCAGGGGATCTTCCCTACCCAGCGATTGAACAGGTGCCTCCTGCATCTCCTGCATTGACAGGCGAATTCTTTCACCACTGAGCCACATGGGAAGCCCTTGGTGTTGCTTCTCTCCTAGTAAATGAGTCCCTCTCACCTGTCCAGGATGCTATGCCCCCAGTAGAAACTCTCAAGAGCCAATGGCTGTCCTGCCTGAACTTCTGATTATCTCCCACCTGGACTCTTAAAAGCTGTGTATGCCTTTGTCATAATGCCAACTGTTTGTGTGAATTACAAAATAAGAATAATAATAGCACATAATACTACTGCACAAAGTTGTTGTGAGGAAGACAAGGCTTAGCACAGCACCTAACACAGAGTAATCATCAATAAATTGTTTGTGGAACTGAATAAAATTCAAATGTTTGATGAGTTATATAAGTTTAAAATGTTCAAAGACAGATTATGCCAAACCAAAATGATAAACTCCTTTGTGGAAATGTTGATATTAGAATTAGACTGCTTCATGGAAATTTTGATACAAGAATTAGACCTCTGTCATGATGCTTGATAAAGGAATCCTGCATTAGGAGGGAGGTTGGACTCATATTTTATTCCACATAATTTTATGTGCATATAATTTTTCCGAAAATAATAATTTTTATTCTTCAGAGATTCAAGCATAATGTCATGAACATTATAAACATTCAGTATTTTATTTGAATAAAAAATAGCAATAGGTACTCAAAATACTATACCTCCATGACACCAACTGAAGAATATGTAGAGAGCTATTACCACATCCCAATGAATTGTGACCTGATTCATGCCTGAAAGCAGAAAAAACTCTTTGTTGCTGTCTAGAAAAATATGAAAAATGTTTAAACTGTAATATTTAATAAAATACTAAGAGGCATAACATTTTTTCTAACAGTTGTTTTTGATGAGAAACTTTAATTAGGAAGAAAGGAATGAAGGAAGGAAGGATGGGAAGGGAGAAGGAAACAGGGCAAAGAGTCGTCACTGGGGTGTGAGGAGGTATAATAAGGTGGAGGAGTAAAGCAAAAGAATGGAATTGTACACCCTTCAAAAATCAGTATGAATTACCTTCATAAGACATTCTGACTCTTGATAAAATATAATTTCTCCTGATCTTGTCTCTCTCATCAGAAATCTCTTTATGCTCTAACTCATGATCCTCAATCCTTCTCCTGACCAGGTTCACATGTCTATCAAGCTCCAGAAATATTAGTCTTTCAGGAAAAGCCAAAAAGTTCAGAATTTCCAGAAGAGAAAAGCATTCAAAATGAAGAAACAGGAAATGAGACAAAACCTTATGTGTTATCACCAGTTAGATTTACAGAAATCCCCTTTAACTGCAGAGTTCAAAAGAAACACATTATAGAAATTCCAAACAATATTGCCATTAGTTTACATCTGGGGTTACATTATTCAGTTAAACAGTTACATGCATTATTAAATAATTAAGGTATTCAATAATCAGCATTATTCAGTTATTTTTATCTGTTTAATTAAACCTGAGCCTTTCATATAAAACAACAAAAACTCATAAATCATCAAATGGCACACAATATTTCATTTTTAAAAACTGAGGTCCCAAATGATTTATGAATATAAAGATCCCTTTCATGATTTGTTAACAACAGTAGATCTTCTCTTTGTAAATAATAGGCAAAACAAACCCTGAAATATTCCTAGTTAGGAGTTAACTACTCATCTAATAGAATATACACAATAATATCATTTAAAGCGATATGATATTAGATAATATTACAGATTCAGCTTCTATCAGTAACTCTGTGTGAAATATCATACAAACTAATAGGAGAAGACAACTTGGCCCATGGATTTCCAAAAGGAAATATAGCCGTTTTTAAGTATTCAGAGATCATTATCTCTTTACCTTACAATCTGTTTGAAGCACATAATTCCACCTCAGAGCCAGGCTGCTACCCTCGTATCTGCGTCATGTCTTCTTGCCTCACTGCCTGCCTGTCAACGATCACTTCAGGTTTTCAGTGATGAGGCAAATGGAAATATCTGCAAAGCTCCGACCTACATTTCAGATTCTTGAAGAGGAACTCAAAACCGTCCAACTCAAAATGACTGGCTCTTATGTCACTATTTGGGAAAACCCAGATTACTGAAAGTGAACTGCTTTGTCAGTACTTTTTTTTTCCTTACCTTAATTTGAAATAATCTCATCCAAGAAGTAGAACACATGTTTATGTTTAATCTTTCAAAATCTTTGACACCAAAGATACAATGCTTAGTTTTAATTTGCAACCAACATGGATATCCACTATAAATCCATTTCTTAAGAAAAGAAAGTTTAAAAGCTACTATTGACCATTCATTTATTTAACAAGCATTTTTGAGCATCTCATATGTGCCAGGTATTGTTTGGGGCATTAAAGATATAATAATGATTAACTACAAAACAGCTGCTTTATATATTGCATTGTTTATAATAATAAAATTATAGATCAGTGGCTTTAAACTATTTATTCATGGTTTAACAGGATCCTAAAGTGAAAGTCATTCAGCCGTGTCCAACTGTTTGCAACCTCATGGACTATACAGTCCATGGAAATCTCCAAGCCAGAATACTGGAGTGGGTAGCCTTTCCCTTCTCCAGGAGATCTTCCTAACCCGGGGATCGAACCCAGGTCTCCCACGTTGCAGGCAGATTCTATACCAGTTGAGCCACCAGGAAAGCCCTAACAGGATCCTAAGACCAAATTTTTAAAAAAATTATCAATTATTTGGTTGGTTTCTAGCAAGCATCACCAGGAGACCTTGTGGCACACCTTTTCTTCTCACCTCCTTATTTGTTCTACATGAATATCTTTTCACTCTTCATTCGGCTTTCTATTGTAAATGACGGTTTACATTTCCTCCATTTCCTCATTTCCTCCACAGTGAATTTCTTGAAGTCAGAAACTCCATATTGTCTTTTTAGTTTTTTGTATCTTTAGTACCTAGCACATTAGAATATTCTGGGGGAACATTTAAACATTCCTATGCTCAAAATTATTGTACCCAATGAAATCAGAATTTCTGTAAGTGGAAGTTGAGCATGAATATTTTAAAAAAACCTCTCCTGGTGATTATAATGAGCAGTCAGGGCTGGAGACCACCAGAATACATGAATAAGAGTGTCTTTGACTGTTAACTGGGTTTTAATGACTAGTAACAATTTTCTAAACTATGAAGAAGGGTATGGGAAAACATTTCACATACCAAGAACAATGGTTTGGGACTGGCAAGTTGTTTCTGTAGGCTGAAGTATTTGAGCTGGAAAGTTAGATCAGTGGCAGAATATAATGGGCTTTGTATTCTTGTCTGTCCTCCACGCACTCAGGTGTACATCACCACCTGACAGTTGCTCGTCAGGCTGTTGTTCAGTTGCTCAGTTGTGTCCAAATCTTTGCGATCTCATGGCCTGCAGCACGCCAGGCCTTCCTGTCCTTCACTGTCTCTAGGAGTTTTGCTCAGACTTATGTCCACTGAGTTGATGATGCCATCCAACCACTTCATCCTCTGTTGCCCCTTTCTACTCCTGCCCTCAATCTTTCCCAGCATCTGGGTCTTTTCCAATGAGTTGACTCTGCATCAGATGGCCAAAATATTGGAGCTTCAACTTCAAAATCAGTCCTTCCAATGAATATTCAGTGTTTATTTCCCTTAGGGTTGACTAGTCCGATCTTGCCCTCCAGGGGGACGCTCAAGAATCTTCTCCAGCACCACAGTTCGAAAGCATCCATTCTTCAGTGCTCAGCCTTCTTTATGATCCAATTCTCACATCCTTACTTGACTACTGGAAAAAAACATAGCTTTGACTCTATGGACCTTTGTAGGCAAAGTAATGTTTCTGCTTTTTAATATGCTGTCTAGGTTTTTCATAGTTTTCTTCTAAGAAGCAAGCATCTTTTAATTTCATGGCTGCAGTCACTGTCCACAGTGATTTTGGAGCCCAAGAAAATAAAGTCTGACACTGTTTCCATTATTACCCCATCTATTTGTCATGCTCGTCAGGCTACACAGCTGAAAGAAACCAAACAACAACAACAACAAAACCCCAACTTCCTTTATCTGAAAGTGTCAGAGATAACAAAGATTGTTAGGCAGAGAAATACATAATCAAGTTGGATCTTAGAAAGATATTTCTAATTACTGCATGGAGATTTGAATGAGGATAAAGAATCCAGTTAGGAGGATATGGAAGAGCAAAGGCTGATGAAGACCTAAGGCAAAGCAAAGGCAGTGAGAACTGAGAGGAGGAAACACATGTGAGAGCTCCAGGGAGTCCCACTCAACAGGAGTTGTACAATGATCAACTTGTGTGGGGCTAAGAATTCAGGAGCACAAGGCTTGAATCTGGTGGCCATTTTGTTGACTCAGTAGATAACAGTATTAACTGAATGCACAAAAGGAGGCGTGAGGGTGGGAAAGTAATGAATTTGGTTCTGATCATGCTGATTTGAAGGGGCTTCCAGGATGTTCAGAGAAGACTGTCTAGTAAGCTGTTGGAGACACTGGTAAACTTGAGAGAGAAGTTTGAGCTGGAGATCTAAATTTAGAAGATTTCAGCATGTCAGTAGTATTAAAAGTAAAATTAGAAAAAGAGAATTCAGAGAGAACATCCAGAGAGATAAGGGAAAGCAGTAGGAGGCCAGAACCAGAAAATCTTGACCAAAGTACAGAAGAGATACAGGAAGAAGTGCATGATGAGTGTCAAAAGGTCAGAGATTAAATATGATAGGAACTAAAAGGCAGTGTTGAATTTGACAATAGTCAGTTCCCCCTGAGAACAGTTTCAGAAAAGAAATGAAGGTAGAAAGAAGATTGAAGTAAGTTAGAATAGAAAATAAAGGAGAGGACATCATCTAGTATTTCAGGAATTTGGACACTGGAGATGAGATTGATGAATGCTCACTGCAAGTCAGTATCCACTTATTTATTTTAATGGGGGCTAGTGGTGGTTCTCAGTCCACTCTTTAGATATTTTCCATGCATATCTTTGGTGAACAATCCATTCAAATCTCTTGTTTTTGTTGTTTAGTCACTAAGTTGTGTCTGGCCTTTTGTGACTCCATGGACTGTAGCCTACCAGGCTCCTCTGTCCATGGGATTTCCCCAGGCAAGAATATTGGAGTGCGTTGCCATTTCCTACTCCAGGTTCAAATCTTTAGTCCATTTATATTGGTTTATTGTTTTCTTATTATTGAGTTTTGAGAATTCTTTACATGGTTTGAAAACTAGCCCTTTCCTGAACATGTATTTTGTCCTAGTCTGTGGCTTATTTTTTTCATTTTCTTACCAATATTTTTTGAAAGAAGTTTTTGATTTTAGTGAAATCCAATTCATTAATATTTTCTTTCTATTTTTGTCTTGTTAGCCTCTGCTTATATTTTCATCAGTGGGTCAGTATATAGTCTCGCCTAATGTGTGTTTCCGTTTAAAGACAATCTGTATTGTTGACTAGCTAACATCGAACTCAGGGTCAACAGCCCTATAACTCAAACCTAAACAAAGCTTACCTAACATGGATGTTCTTTTTAATGTACATTGCAGACTTCTTGCATTTCGGAGCACTAGACAATACTTTAGGACTGTATTTGGGGGCCATGTTAAATAGTGAAATCACCAAAAAAGAAAATCACAAAATGTGAAAAATGTAGTACTAAATAGACTTGGGGCTTCCCAGGTGGCTCAGTGGTAAAGAATCCATCTGCCAATGCAGGAGATGCCAGTTTGATCCCTGGGCCAGGAAGATCCCCTGGAGAAGGAATGGCAACCCATTC